TCCGTCCAACTTAATCAGCGGTTATTTAAACGTATACGTTATAAACGTTGAACGGAAATCTGCGGTTTTTCAGAAATTACCGTTGATTTACGTTGGACTGAATGGACGACAAACGTAGCATTTCCGGCTGACGGTTACGCAACGGATATGCCACCCCCATAGTCCGACGGTTACGCGACGGTTACGCGGCGGATTTACAGCATAACCGCCATGTAACCGTTGTGTAACCGTACCGGTAACACGCGATTTCATGCCGTGTAAGATAAGACAGCCCAAACGAAAATTGTACTAAAGAATTCTCACACTTAACTTTAGTTATATGTCACTGCAAAGTTGAAGCAACAGCAATTTTCTGATTTTCACGCCACGTAAGATAAACTGCCTCATTAAAAACGAACCCATGACCAAAACATTTTGTGTAGTGTACTACAACAATTATATGAACTTCTCCGTAATTTAAATTAAATGTATCAGTTCGCAAATACTCGCGAAAACTAAGACTTCTTAGTTAGGTCTTTTAAAAAATGCTAAAAATTCGTCTACATTATCTACATATCAGCCTATAGTCACTCTCGCAAAAAGTAACTTACAAAGTGTCAAAGCTTATTTTTTTCAACAACAATTATCACACTTTCCACAACGGAGAAGAGGGGTGCTTATATCGTAGAACAATGAGTGTATGTATTTAAACTATTTTTTGACATAGCTGTCTAGAAAATCAAAAAAAGTGGTAATCAAACTGTAAATTTGCATCCCTCTTTTCATGTCTTAGGTGGATATTCAAAAATGTCCTCATTGTCTTGAATTCGGAAGGCATTTACTGAAAGGAAATATTTACTGATAAATTGAATATTCACAAGCAACTCCGAATTTAAATTTAAGCAAAATCATTAGCGCGTGGACTCAAATTTATGACTGACTATGGTTTGCAGTGCCAGGTCACTTCGTCTAGCATTTGTGCACGTTATTATACCAAGCATCGTTTTGCGTAACACCACAACTGTTTATGGTTTCAGGTGACAAAAATAGCCAACAGTGACGACCTTGTTTTAAGTGGTAAAATTCACCATTCCACAATATAATATCGCAATTCTAAAATACTCAACAATCGTGGACAATGAAATATTCTTCTTTGTTGTTCGTCCACTTATGTAGTGTAATAGGGAAGCTACTAACAATTCTCCTAAGAACACGGCCGTGTAGAAAAAACTCGAAGCCAACGGGCCAAAAAACAATGATCACGTTATCTACAGTTCAGCCAATCGTAACTCTCATATTAAGTGACGTATATTGTGTCAAATTTCATTCAGTTATCAATAACTATTATATATTTGCCGTTATGCAGAAAAGGGGTACTCATATTGTAGAAGAAACAATGCATGTAACTAAAGTTTTTCAACTTTCAATTTCTGGAAAATTGAAACGGCGGTTATCGGACTCTAGCTTGACATCCCTATTCTCGTGCTATAGGCGAATACGTAAAAATGTTCGCATGTTTTAGAATTTAGAAGGCATTCACTAAACCGATATTGTCACTGATATATTAAATATTCTCAAGTAAAATCCGATTTTTTTAAAATGTTTTTGTGCCAGGCGACAGTTCCGGACATTGATAGTCACTGTTGTCTCTCCTGATTTTTTCTATTTTTGTAAGTGCAAATTGCAAGTGCTGGTGCTGACACATAGTGCATTTTGCCACGGAAGTCATTTCCTGTTTGGGACTACATGACAGGACTGTGTGGCCGACTCCATATCAAACGGCAATTTAAACCAGGCTCGGTCGAACACAAGCACCAGCGGACCTTAACCAAGGTTCCTCTAAAGTCGAATTCGTTAGTGAATGAATCTCGGTCAGTGGAATTGGCCTTCCAATTGAGTCTGTGGCACACTCACCAGGGTAGAGGTCGACCCTTTTGATGTTCAGCCGAAGGTAGGATTTGAACTTGGGTCTACCAATTTTATTTTTAGTAAATCAATAGGTCGTGAATTAAATATATGAGTGACCCTTGTCAGCAGTGTCAGGTCATTTCGTCTGGCATTATTGCGCGTTTTCATACCAAGCATCATTTTGCATTACAACTTAACTATTTACGATTTCAGGTGACGTTACCTCAACATCGGATATTATGCGATAAATTTGTTGTCAATTTTCTCACATCTACATATGAATCAGTTTTTGTGCCAGCTTTAGACATGGTTGTTTAGCCATGCCTTGTAGTCTCAAACATGAATTATGCTAGTCTGGGTTAAAAAGTAGTCGCTTAAATAAAAACGTCGGTAAAATTGCATAAAGGGCCTTGCGGAAAAGGAGATTTGGCCAATTCAAGAAGCATATTCAGATAAGACGCCGCAAACAAAAAATGCACTTAAGAATTGTCCCGCTAAACTTTCATCTATAATATATATCAGTACAAAGTTGAAGCAAAATCCAATTTCTGATTGTCTAGCCACGTAAAATAAATAGTGTCGTAAAAGACGGATCATTGATCAAAACATTTTGTGTAGTGCACTGTAACAACTATATGAACTTCTCCGCAATTTAAATTAAGTCTAGATTCTCAAATACTCATCACTGTTGCAAAAACCAGACTTTCTAATTATGACTTGTAAAAATGATATATATTCACATATATATTGAATATTCACAAGCAACTCCGAATTTAAATTTTAGCACATCATTAGCGCGTGGAATAAATTCATGACTGACTGTGGTTTGCAGTGCCAGGTCACTTCGTCTGGCATTAGTGCACGTTTTCATGCCAAGCATCGTTTTGCATAACACCACAACTATTTATGGTTTCAGGTGACAAATATAGCCAACAGAGACAACCTTTGCAAACATAATGCAACCCTAAACTTTGATACATTTAGTTTTTTTATTATGGACCAACTTAATTTAAATGGTAATTTAATTCACCCTTCCACAATTGAACTAAAATGTCGCTATTCAAAAATACGCACCAATGTACAATGAAATATACTTTCTTGTTTTTCGTCCTCTTATATAGTGTAATGGGGACACTACTATGAATTCTTCTTAAAACACGACCGGGTAGAAACGACTTGATGCCAACTGGCCTGGAAACAATGATCATGATATCTACTGTTCACCTAATCGTAACGTTTGTAATAAATGACGTAATTGTGTCAAAACTGATTTAGTTAAATAAGACATATTTCCCGTAATGCAGAAGAGGGTTACTCATATCGTAGAAGAAACATTGTATGTAACTACATTTTTTCAACTTTGCCATACATGTCTGGAAATTGGAACAGTGGTAATCAGACATCTATGGCCATGTTTTATGCAACTTACCAAAAAAATATGGTCAAGAACACGTCAGTAAAATCGCAGTAGAAAATAGAATCGCAGAAGACAATAGAACATACATTTTTGGCCTTCAATAGTATTTAACACCCTCTTCCAGGCATTTTCTCTGATTGAGATGTTTGTTTTGAAAATGAAGCCCCTGTCAATTAACTCGATGATTTTTCGTGTACATTGTAATTGTTATTTTTCCCAATGAGTACGCCGTCGCCAATATAACAGGCTGGCTTGCAAGCTTATATGAGATTTGTACGGGATTCATACATGCATTGGGTTAGACCCTTGTAGGTTTTTGAAATTACCAACATTCTTAACAAACTAATAAGGAAATAAATAATAAATTACAAAAATAAAATGATGAAGGAAATACAAATGTATATTACAAATAAATAAATTAAACATAAATTAAACAAAAAAGAAACCCAGGCTTAGACTTCATTTTAATTAGATTGTTTTTAAGTGAATTCAAAATGGTTATGGTAACTATTTCTGAAAAAAAAGATACTAGTACTCGGAATTGATAACAATGTACACATGTGTGTATTTCATGTCAGCGACTTTGTATCTTATTTAATAAGATGCCAATTAACCGACTAACCGGGGTTTCATTATACAGACTTATTTCCAGAACTAAGCAATCTATTTATATTTATTGTCTTTTTATCAAGTCACAGTTTTCTGCATGTGATATCCCCATGGTTTCATACATTGTACGTCCAAAAACCCAAAGAAAATCGCTGTATTATAGCTGCAGCCATTGAAGGTATATTTTGTTATGAGCCGCTAAATCACATTGACCTCCATGTCTGAGTTATTGCTAGAAAAAAGACGATTAGCCATAGAAATATTGCTTACAATAAATACGCCATACATATCATTGGAGTACTTTTTTCAGCACAGATTTACATGTACATACACCAGACTGTATTTCAATAAAAATACACAAATAATTGACTACGATGCCATCAAAAAACACTTTCTGGTCCATTTAATTTATAATGTACTCGTTTATAACAACAACTTTCAATAACAGACTATCAATACATTTATGTAACAGGTAATCTATTTAGAAAAAAAATATCATTTTCAATCATTGAACACTTTGACTATTCTTAAATGCTGCTGCATTTTAGCTTCAATACAAGTAATCTGCATGTGTACAGATTAATCAGTACCAGACTCGATGTATAACTCATTGATTATAACGATGTACAATCCATTGACAACCTGGAGTAAATTACAAATGTACGAATGGATGACAAACTAACAATGCACTAATAATATTATCTAAGCATTTTTATTGAAAATTGAAAAACGTCATAATAATTGTTGTTCACAAATAGTATAGAATAATAAAACTTGAATTCAGTTCTGAATAATCATAATACATCATCCTTAATATATCTGAGCAAAATTCGCAAGAAAAATACTAGCCAATGTGTTTCTCAATTGATAATACATATATTGTATTAAATGATCCGGGCAGATCTTCAGTTGACAACAATTTATTCAACAATAGATGATTTGGCTTCAGTCACATTGTTCACAATGAATGTGTTCACTTCCATAAATCTGAAAATAATAAATAAATTTAAATCAGTGATCAGTAATGTAATTGATTTAATCCAATTATACATAATGTTGTGTTTTAGACAGTGTTTACCTTTATTATTTACTTTGATAAATATGGTCGTATAAATTTCTCCACCAGGTCTTTTCTGGGTATTTGCGTTAATAATCGTTCCAACAACTCTGTGTTGTCACTGCTGATTTTGTTATCTTCACACAAATATTGAAACACTCCATTAGCCTGTTCCCTTTTCTCTAAATCGCCCTTTGGTATCAGACCATAAACATTGCCACATAGGTGTTTCAATGATTTTAAATCATCTGTAAAAAAAAAACGCAAGTCAGCAAAAGCATGGCAAATTCCTGTGTTGATTCCCTCAATCTTGTAATGTATAAAATGGCTAAATTAAATATATATTATATGAAATATTGATGATATTTTATATTTTTCACACACACACTATTTTGGTATCATGATGTGCTTTAAAACTTGTAATATATCAGAAAATAGTTTGCTGATAATCAAATGTGATGACAACTTTACCTACGCCTATTTCCTTAGCAAGATCAAAGAGCATTTTTTTAAATTCCGCTTCTCTTGAATCTAGTGGACTCTTTGACGAAGAGGCACCTTCAGCTAAGTAGTTTCCTATAGTGACAATAAACAATTCAAGTGAACAGCCACATTGACTATGCCTAACATTGGATCTTAGGATTTAATAAGATCGTTTTTCCCTATTGTTTTTGTGCATTGCCATCCATCTATATACTATAATGTATATGTGATTCCGTTTTTAATTATAACCTGACTGATATGTAGCTAATGATTGTTTTGATTATTTTTTGAAATCAGAAATGCTTTATTATGAATTTGATGGGATGAACTTAAACCATGCACCAAAATCTGATGTCCAATGTGTAGACGAAGTTTGAATGCACTTCACACATACACGCCCGAGATAGAGTTTGATAAATTTGTTGTATTTTTATGGTCGTCGATGCATTCCTGAATGTAATGTGAATTTGTGCAATTTGAATATGACATATTGACATATTCATTGACAAATTTGCTTTGGGTTACAACAGTGCAGCATGTGCGCAAAGAGCCATATATCATACGTATGGCGGAATGCGCAGCATGCATATAGCGGAATGCGCAGCATACATATGGCAGAATGCGCAGCATACATATGACGGAATGCGCAGCAAACATATGACTGATTGCACAGCATACATATGACTGATTGCACAGCATACATATGGCAGAGTGTGTGGCATACATATGGCAAAGTGCGCAGCAGATGTATTGCAGAGTGCTCGAACCCTAGTTAGTATACCTGCATACAATTCTTACAGAACTTTCATTTGTTTCTCGAAGTCAGCCTTGTCCAAAGATTTCAATAAGTTGATTATATGCCGTGCTATACTTCCTTTATTGTTATCAAAGTGCCATTTTACATTCCATATTGACAATATTGAAATGTAAGATTCATTACACAACAAATGTTTGGTAAAGTTGTTCTAAAGTGACAGACATGCAGGTAACTGTAGTTATGCAATTCGAGCATGCATGCCATACTTGGTAATCACTTTTTTTTATTTATTACCTACCACTTTTCCGCTTTTTTGGTTTGTTGGCGTCAACGTTGTCAGTTCCATGGGTATCTATTGACGACCAAGATGTTTTCTCTGCGTCCCCAGCAGCTGATGAGTAGCACATGTAACATGCATTGGAATTATTAAAAACAACATAAACTCAGTTAAAAACAAAATCTAGAGCATAATTGCTATTTATATTCTTTCGAATTTAAGTTTGCGTTGCTTATGGTTAGTAAAGGGTAAATGTATGGTACACTTTATATTAATGTTGTTTGCATGTAAAACAGAACATATAAATAAAATGAACGTACCTGGTATGAGTTCAGACTGTAGCTCTAACTTAGGTTCATTGCGTTCTTCCTTCTTGGATTCTACAACTATAATAATACACATTTTTGACAAAGAAATAATACATTTGAAATCAAATAGAGTGTCGTCACAAAACACATTGCAGCCATTTATAACATTTGAAATTTTTTAAATTAAAATTATGCATATTTTAAAAAAAAGCTCAATAAACTTGTTTTGTTCGACCTTTTTTTTCAATTGTATCATAATATCGTGACCGAATATCATCTGAAATTGTCTGTGTCACTAACATTTCTGTTGAAAGTTACATCAAGCTTCTTATTGTTTGATATTTTCATGCAGTCGTTATTATACGTAATATGAAAAAACGTTTCATGTCATTTCATGTTGTTAAAATTTTACATGGAGTTGCATCACTACTATCTATAGAAGGCACTACATTTACTGCTAAATACCAATTAATCGAAAAATGGGTCAAACCACTGGACAAAAAATATATAATCAGTCAATGCCTAAATCAAATTACGCCATTTACCAGAAGTTGCAATACTGTCCGAGGAGGAAGATATCGTGTAAACTCCAATGCCAAAGATGAACACAAGCACGACCACGCACAACATAACGATCTCTGAAAGTTAATAAAAATCGGCAGTACATAACCATATTAGTAAGCTAGTGTGATGTAAACTAAGCTTTATAAATACAAACAACGGTGTCAATAGTATCAATATCAAGACCAATACATTGTTATCAATTACCTGACTGTGCACTGATTGGTGTAATATTTGTAGGTTCACATTTAAATATATTTTAATTTATTTTATAATTTTTTTTATTTTATTAACCTTTTACTCTGTTTGGCACCACTGGCGTTATGTTATTCATTTGTTGCGACTGTTTCTTCTCATGTTGTTTTGTCTTTCGATTTCGTTGACGTACTTCCGAGGTAGTTCCAGTGTTGGATGGTACATCGACCTCATCGTTCCCTTTACTCTGTAACTCAGCAAGTATCTTTTCACATGGTTCTATGTACTTGGCTATTAACGGTCTTCTTTTGATCTTAGTTATTAGATGATGTAATAGTGATAAGTTATTTGCTTTGATCAACCCTATTTCCTCTAGTTTTTCAAAAATCTCAGCTGCTCCCTTTAAGCTTTCTTTTTCACCCTTTGGCAGTTGTTCATCTGAAAGTAACTGCTTAATTTTTTCGACCTCCCCTTTACGAAGCTCCGATTGTAAATCTTGATATAGCTCACGAAGCCTACCGTTGCATGTAGTGAGGTCCATTGTTGATGTATTCTGTAAACAGACACATTATATTCTCAAGTCTGAATAGTCATCATAAGAAACATACTCTAACATGGCATATAGGATAGTTATGAGGCATGACTCAGATATAAGACAA